GTGTAGTTATATCGCTTTCATGTTAGGTGATGCACCCTTTTCCTTCACTATATCTTGTACAACTTTCTATAGTGAAACCCCTCATTCTCGTTTCTTCTCAGTGTGTCCAAGATGTGAAGGTGACGATCCCGTCACTGTCTGCGCTGCCCAGGTCTGGGACGAAATCGAGAACGAAGACATTGTTCTTCAGGACCGCCTTTCCGATGTAGAGGCCACCCTTCCCGTGGTACAGCTTGAACTCCTGGGTGGTACTGTCGGCTTCCACATGTATGCCTTTCGCCATCAACTGACTGACACTCAGTAAGTTGTAGCCAAGTCCTTCTGCTATTAGGACTTTGGACATTTGCAGTATGACATTCGTCTCTCGTGACTGAAGTTGCACTACTCCTTGTCGTCGTGTGCGCATGTTATGGTTATTGGCGACAATGATGACGACTTCTCGTTGAAGTCGGTGCTCGCGTTGAACGAAGCGTCCTGAAGAGCACATGTGTTGTCCGCAGCAACTCTCCAAGAACCATGTATCCTTCCCGGACGGCTCGCTTTGAGCGATGGCGGCGTATGTCGGGTTCGGTTGAAGTGACTCGCGGCGAGGCGTGCTGTTGTCGAGTTGTTCTTCTGGTGAGTAATATGGTGGTGACTCAGTTACGCAGGAGTCACTCAGCCTTGCCATGCAATTGATGATGTTTCTTGTTCCTTTCGCAGGTTGTCCCGTTGATGTTGTTGAGACTTGCACTGAAGTTGTCAGGTTTGCTTGTGTTGAGGCGACTTGACTGCTTGAAGGGCAAAGTTGGCGTTGCGGCGACGTTGACTGTTGTCGATCCGGGCAGTGCGTACGAGGATGCCCTGAAGTCTTGCAGAGATGGCAGAATGGAGGTACGATTTTCGGTCGATTGTTGTTGTTGTTGTGGCGCCGTTGAGTGTGAAACGCGAATTCGGGCACTGATACTTTTCTCTTGTGTCGTTCTTCTTGCATGTCCATGTCTTGTTGCTCGGCGTGGATTTCGGCGCAAAGTGCTGCTTCAGAAATTTTCCCGTGGGCTCGTAGTATGGCGCGAGTGGAGCGCCAGTGAGGACCAAGGCCGCTGATGACAACCGTGACGAAGGCGTCCTCTGAAATCGATCCTCCACATCGAAGAAGCTTATCGCGCAGCTCGCGGCATCGACTGATATATGCCATTCCCTTCTCGACTAGTTTCATTTCAATTGTTGTCAGCTGCGCCATTAACCGACTTTGGTTTACGCTGTCTGTTGCTTGATACAGGTTCTTCAAGTGATTGTACGCGAGCTCCACGGAGTTGCCGTAGCCTCGGTAAGACCGTATGTTCTGTTGTTGAGTTGGAGTGATGCTCCTCAGTAGTATCGTGTACGCCATCATCGATTGATAGGTGTACTGCTGCTTCTCATATTGTGTGCCGTTTGTTGGGTATGGCAGGGACCCGTCGAAGAAGCCAAGGATTTGTGCTCCTTCCATTATCAGCTCGAATTCGAACGACCAGGTAAAGAAATCCTTCCCGTCGAAGGGTTTTGTCGTTTGCAGTTTTAGAACGTGCGCGAACTGCGACTGAACTTGTAGTGCGTCCAACGTTCTTTCTTGTCCCGGTGCAGGTTGTGGTTGTGGCATGAAACTGACGGAGCCGCGTTGTCGCTCGTACGGAGCGAAGGTAGGTTGCTGTTGTTGGTTCCCGCGTGCGTAGGATGAGCCGTCAAGACTCATGGGTATCACGTTGTTGTTGTTGTTGCTTGATTGCGCAGGTGCTCCTTGCTGATGCTGCTCGTAGAAGGACATGAAGGAGAAGAACTTCTCCATCATGCTTGGATCGAAGCCCGCGCCTTGGTTTGCGGGTGTTTCAGTAGACCCAGCTGCTGGTCTCGTTGTTGTGCCTTCCTCTGTTTGTAGGCCAGAGGCAGGAGGTGGAGTAGGAGTAGTTCCAGGAGAGCCGTTGGAGGAGCTCCTCTCCTTTCTGGTAGACATGTCTATTGGTGTTTTAGGTGTTAAGGAGAGATGAATTTAACCCTAACCTGCTCTCATACCATGTTGGGCTGAATGCCCCTTAGGATCATTGGTAGGGTCAAACTCTGGGTAGAGTGATGCAGTAGCGGAAGCGTTAATAAAGAGATTCTGAACCACCTTGCGCTAGTATGTGAGGGCAAAGTAAGTTGATTAAAGCAAGGAGATACAAGGTTATATAAGAGTACAAGGAATACGAAGAGATACGGTTGCGACTATTTTTACTGTTGCTGTTGCGGTTCGATACAGTGACGATTCGGGCAACTGCTTTGTAGCGAGTCAGTTGTGTGTCCTTGCTGTCGTGCTGTACTTGTCTGGTCAAAGGTCGCTGACCTTTGACTTTCGCGTAACCTCCAACGGTTGCTTCAACCTCCGAGGGTTGACTCGCCGGTGCCTCGATAAGCTTCGCTTCGTTTGTGCCTTAGTGTTTCGACACGACAGAGGCGCTTAGGACCGATTGTTTCCAACAAACCTGCCCTCGGCAATCAGCTTGCAGTACCGCCTGCCTCTCCTTGACCTGGTGTAAACCTCACGTGCTGCTCTCCACCTAAAATGTGTTTTTTTCTTAAAAGTTGAAGGGCGAAGTTTGTTGTACATAGTTGCAAGACAATAACGTATCTCGTATCTTGTAGTTGTACCCAACGATGTGTGCCACTATGGAAAAAAGCCCAAGTATTCATGCTTGAAATTCATGTTCAGCCGAAGTTATATGCTTGTTTTAGCACAAGCACCCGTATGGGATTGAATCAGGCAAGGACAGCATCCGTGTTCTCCCAAATAGTTGATCCCCAACCATGTGTCAGAATGTTATGCTCTAGCCTGTAATGGGGTGCTCTATAGCGAGTACAACCCTTCTAGGGTTTGCTATTTGTATCCTCATTCCTGCTAGTGAAAACCCTCTCTTTGCCTAAATTGTTTCTTGCCTAGCTAGGGCTTTCCTAGCTATGGCTCCTAAGCTCTCAACTACTATTTTAACATGCTATCAGAGCATGTCAACCCCCTTGGGTCGATCCTGTGGGTGGTGTTAAATTAAGACTAAGGAGCGGTAGGCTTAGGAGCCATGGTAAGTTGGGAGAGAGATCGAGCTCGAGTGAGTTTAGGAAAGGTCGAGAAAGTTTGAACAAAAAGAGGGGTTTCACTATAGAGCGAGGAGTACAAATAGGCAAGAAGAAAGGTGCACCACCAAAACAGAACATTATATAACTAGAGTAGTCTACACTACAGGCAGTTACAAAAAAACAATATATAGAATTATATATATTATTCTTGACAGGTGGGCCCGCCACCTAACTGCTTCCGCTGCTGTTCTGCTTCTAGCGCGCCTAGGGGCGAAAATTTTTAGGGTTTTTCATCCCGCCGTGCGCCCGGGGCGCGCGGCGGTTTTCTGCCCGCCGTGCGCCCCGAGGTGCGCGGCGGTTTCGTGCCCTGGGGAGCCTGCGCGCGCCCCGCCCGTCCGTCGCGGCGCCCTGGGGAGCACGCGCGGCCCCCCGCCCAGCTCGTCGCGGCGCTCTGGGGCACACGCGCGGCCCCGCACTGCTCGTTGCGACGCCCTGGGGAGCCGCATGCGCCCCCTGCCTGTCCGTCGCGGCGCCCTGGGGAGCCGCGCCCGCCCCCTGCCCGTTCGTCGCGGCGCCCTGGGGAGCCGCGCGCGCCACCCCCCCCGCCCCGCCCGTCCGTTTTGGCGCCCTGGGGGTCGTGCGTCGTCCCTCCCCTCGCCGTCCCCCGCGCTCCAGCCCCTATCCCACACGTTTTAGGGTTTTGGGGGTGAGGGGTGTGGGGGTGGCGGGTATGGGGGTGGAGGTTGTGCATTCCTCCCTTTGCTCCTCCTCCTCCCTCTTCTCTCACTGCTGCAGCTGTCGCTGAGGGGGGTGGGTGTGTGGGAGCCTCGGTTTTAGGGTTGAAGGGGGGTGCGTGGGAGTGGAGCTAAGGTTTGAGCAGTGGGCGTGTGTCGAGGGTGTGGGGCAGTTGGAGGAGGTTGTGTGGAGGTACCTGTCGTGTCGCTTGCAGCGCCTGTAGTCCGTCGCCCTTGCTTCGGTAGCCAGTGAGCCTGCTGCACCAGTCGCCAGTGGGTCCGTTGCTCCTGCCGCTCTTCTATAGCCGCCGAGCCAGTTACTCCAGTAGTCCGTCGCCCTTGCTTCGGGAGCCTCTGAGTCAGCCGCTCCTGTGCCCGTGCCTCTGCAGCTTCAGTCGTTGCCTCCCATCTTCTCTACCTCCACAGCTCCTCACTTGCCCGCTCTGATTAGCTCTAGCTTTGCTTACCTTTGTGAACTCCTGCTCTATACCTGCTTGCTCATTGTACTGATTACACCCCACTTTGGCTATGGGGGTGTGTCAGAATGTTATGCTCTAGCCTGTAGTGGGGTGCTCTATAGCGAGTACAACCCTTCTAGGGTTTGCTATTTGTATCCTCATTCCTGCTAGTGAAAACCCTCTCTTTGCCTAAACTGTTTCTTGCCTAGCTAGGGCTTTCCTAGCTATGGCTCCTTAGCTCTCAACTACTATTTTCACACCATGGACGTCTTGGGTTGGGTGTGGGGGCTCCTTTCTAATTCAGGGCAGGAGTGGTAGGCATTCTGTGATTCTCCTGTGGTTGATGGTTGGTACGCTATAATTTGTTTGTTTATGTATTTCATCTACCGGTATCACGCCAACTGATAGACAACAAAGCAGCGTCAAAGCAGAAACCCTTGTCCCTGTGCAACCACTTGCACCTCACCTGCCCTCTTGCTCATGCATTCTTCCTGATCTCCTTCAATCTCTACTTCCTTGTCTCCATGCCCTTCTCTCCTTTTTTATTTCAGTCCTGATGGCCTTGTTTCCCTCCTTCCCACTCTTCTCTCCCACCTTCCCACTTGTCTCTCCCTCCTCACTCCTCTCCCCGTCTGTCCCCCTCGTCTCTCCTTCCTTTCCATTAGAGTCTCCTCCCCTCAAAGGCATGCCCCCTTTCCCCCCAGCCATGTCCCTCCTCCCTCCAGTCACACCCTCTTCCCCCTCAGACATGCCACAATCCCTCATTCTCAAGTGCTCCCGCTTCATACGCAATAGCTCCATTGTCCCTCACACACACGATTCCCCTTCCCTCACTCAACTCCTCGCCCTCACTCAACTCCTCGCCCTCACTCAACTCCTCGCCCTCACTCAACTCCTCGCCCTCACTCAACTCCTCGCCCTCACTCAACTCCTCGCCCTCACTCAACTCCTCGCCCTCACTCGTATCCCATCCAGCACTCAGATTCCCACCTGAAAGCAACTCTTCCTCACTACTCAACCCCCCACCTTCACCTGCATTGACCACCCCTTGACCTGCATTGACTGCTCCTTGACCGGCAATTCTTGTTTCTTGACCAGCGTTGACTGATGCCTGACCAGTGTTGACTGGTGCTGGACCAGCATTTCTTGTCTGTAGCACTGCAGCCGTCCCCACACGACCCGCACCGAACCCTATTTGGTCGATAGCTGTCTCCGCCTGATTCGCTGCCACTCCCCTCATCGGATCTGCATTGACCACCAGTTGACTCCCATTGACAGCCCTTTGCCGTATACTGGCCGCCAATTTAGCAGCCACACACTCAGGACACTCGCATTGATGCTCATTGACCATCACTGGAGTGGCAGCCACCCCCTCTTGACCAGCATTGACTGCCCCTTGACCAGCATTCACTGCCCCTTGACCAGCATTCACTGACCCTTGAACAGCATTGACTGCCCCTTGACCAGCATTGACTGCCCCTTGACCAGCATTGACTGCCCCTTGACCAGCATTGACTGCCCCTTGACCAGCATTCACTGCCTGGGCCATCTGTTGACTTGCGTTGACTGCCCCTTGACGCATTCTAGCAGCCACACACTCAGGGCACTCGCATTGAATCCCATTGACCACCACTGGAGTGCCACCCACCCCGCCTTGACATGCGTTGACTGCCCCTTGACTGGCGTTGACTGCTCCCAGGTTCTGTCGCAGAAACTCCTGCACGCGATGCCCCAGCAGCTGCAGCCCTGCCGTGCTGCCCGCCCCTTGTGTGCCGCCCAACCCACCTGTGCCGCCCAACGCACTCGTGCCACCCAACCCAGCTGCTCCTGCACCCCCACCTGCTCCTGCTGCCCCACCTGCTCCTGCTGCCCCACCTGCTCCTGCTGCCCCAGCTGCTTCTCCTACCCCCTCTGCCCCTCCTACCCCTCCACCTCCTCCCACCCCCCGTCCTCCTCCTCCTCCCCCGTCCACACCCTGTACACCCCTCGCTCCTCCTGCTGAGGCCGCTGCTACTGCTGCTGCTGCCATTCCCACACCCACACTCCCACCTTCTGCCATCGCCGCTCCCGTTTCGCCTACCGTTCCCAAACCCCTCCAACCGAACCCTGATTCCCCCATCCGCGGTATCCCCGATCCCATTCCCCCTCTACGAGTTTCAGCCATCCACATGCTTCTCACTCCCGCCCCTGCTGTTCCCACCCCTGCTGTTCCCACCCCTGCTGTTCCCACCCCTGCTGTTCCCACCCCTGCTGTTCCCACCCCTGCTGTTCCCACCCCTGCTGTTCCCACCCCTGCTGTTCCCACCCCTGCTGTTCCCACCCCTGCTGTTCCCACCCCTGCTGTTCCCACCCCTGCTGTTCCCATCCCTGCTGTTCCCACCCCTGCTGTTCCCACCCCTGCTGTTCCCACCCCTGCTGTTCCCACCCCTGCTGTTCCCACCCCTGCTGTTCCCATCCCTGCTGTTCCCACCCCTGCTGTTCCCATCCCTGCTGTTCCCATCCCTGCTGTTCCCATCCCTGCTGTTCCCATCCCTGCTGTTCCCATCCCTGCTGTTCCCACCCCTGCTGTTCCCATCCCTGCTGTTCCCATCCCTGCTGTTCCCATCCCTGCTGTTCCCATCCCTGCTGCTCCCACACCCGTTGTCGCCATCCCCCCCACCCCGTTCCCCCCAAATCCCGCCCCCCCTGCGCCCATCCCCGCCACACCCCCCACCCCACCCAACCCCCCCATCCCCGCTCCGCTCGCCACTCCCCCCCTCGCCACCCCAACACCAGCAGCCATGCCCTGCAGAGGGGCAAGGAGCTGGTCAGTCAGGGGCGAATCCACTCCAGCAGCAGCGGCAGCTTGAATCCCAGCCAGCTGCTGGTCAACAGCCTGGGTGTGCGCGCGCAGAGCAAAGAGGGTCTGCAGGGCGGGGCTCATGGCCTGGAAGGCGTGGGCGTCGAGGGGGCGCTGCAGGAAGGCATCGATGGCCGCCACGCGCTGCGCGTCCGTGAGAGAGGGCAGGGCTTGCACTGCCTGCACTGCCCTCACCACACTGTCTGCCACCGGGTCTGCAGGTGAGCGAAGGGTGGGGGTGGGAGGGGAGTAGGCGGGTGGTGGTTACGGAGGGAGTAGGCGTTTGTGAGAGTGCACCGCCTTCACCACACTGTCAGCCACCACGTCTGGTGGGGAGGAAGGTGGGGTGGGGTTGTGAAGCGGGTGGGTGGGAAGGGAGTTGGAGTGAGGCCGATGTTTGCACGTCCTGTACCACGTTGACCACACTGGCTGACACCGTGTCTGCAGGTGAGGGTACGGAGGAGAGTTAACATGGCCGGGAGGGCAGCATAATATGGGCTGTCCGCCACCGCGTCTGCAGCTGAGGAAAAAGGGGGAGGGGCGGAGATGAATGGGAGGGTAGGGGGTGTTGTGAGACAAGTCAAAGGTGTTGGAGAGAGATCCGATCCGATCTCAACCAGTCCGATCCAATCCGATCTGATCCGATCCAATCCGATCCGATCCGATCCCCTCCCATCCTGTCCCGTCCAACCCCACCCCACCCCACCCCACCCCACCCCAACCCAATCCCATCCCATCCCATCCCATCCCATCCCATCCCATCCCATCCCATCCCATCCCATCCCATCCCATCCCATCCCATCCCATCCCATCCCATCCCATCCCATCCCATCCCATCCCATCCCATCCCATCCATCCCATCCCATCCCATCCCATCCCATCCCATCCCATCCCATCCCATCCCATCCCATCCCATCCCATCCCATCCCATCCCATCTCCCATCCCATCCCATCCCATCCCATCCCATCCCATCCCATCCCATCCCATCTCCCATCCCATCCCATCCCATCCCATCCCATCCCATCCCATCCCATCCCATCCCATCCCATCCCATCCCATCCCATCCCATCCCATCCCATCCCATCCCATCCCATCCCATCCCATCCCATCCCATCCCATCCCATCTCCCATCCCATCCCATCCCATCCCATCCCATCCCATCCCATCCCATCCCATCCCATCCCATCCCATCCCATCCCATCCCATCCCATCCCATCCCATCCTATCCCATCCTATCCCATCACACCACGCACCTCGGTACACGTGCTCCTGCCCCTTCTTGGCCTTGCCTCTGAACACAATCAGGGCACGCGCCACACTCTCCATCACCCGCCGCTGCCGCTTCCTCTCCCTCACCTGCACCCACACCGGCCTCGACCGCTTCACACCCCTCCCTGCTCTCCCCTCCTCCCCACGCCCCCCTTCCCGCCTCTCCCCCACCCCATTCCGACCCTCTCGAGCCCCACCCACGCGCCATGCATTTGCATTCCCTCCTCCACCTCCTCCATCCCCACCCCCTCCTCCCTCGCCCTCAACCCCTCGCCTCTCTGTGCCGCCTTGCTCCCTCCTGCTCGCCACCATGCCAGCGATCCGCGCTGCCAGCCTCGCAGGGTACTCGTCCCTCTCATCCGCGCTTGCACCCCCTGTCCCATCAGCACGAGCCTCGTCAGCACGAGCACTGTCAGCAAATGTTACATTGCGACGTGCGATCTCACCACGAGGAGCGCCATTGGCCCGCGGTGCGTCAACTGTACAGCCTAACCCACCATCCTCCTCTCCAACCCCAGCTCTGCCAACCCCAGCTCTGCCAACCCCAGCTCTGCCAACCCCAACTCTTCCACTTTCAACCCCTCTCGCTTTTGCACCCTCTCTTTCTCCTCTGTTCCTAACACCTCCTCTGCTCCTCACACCTCCTCTGCTCCTCACATCCCCTCCCTGCCCTGCCTGTTGCCCCGCACCCCCCCTGCTCGCCCCCCACCACTCATCACCATCCCACTCTCCACCACTCCACCGCTCTCCCTCCACTGCCCCTCTGTCTGTCCTCCTCCGTACATTCCTTCCCGATCCATGCCTATACCTCCCTGCCACACGCCGCAGTCGCCCTCCATCACCCCATCCCTCCTCCTCTCCCCCCCCCACCTCCTCAACTTCCTCCTCCTCCTCCGCCTCCCCATTCCCCTCCCCCCCATCCTCCACCTCCACCACTTCATCCTCCTCTTCCCCATCCTCCTCCCCTCCCTCACCCTCTTCCCAATCCTCCTCCTCCTTCTCGTCCTCCTCCTCCCACTCCTCCTCGTCCCACAGTGGTGCCTCAGCAGGGCAAGTGTGGGCGGTGAGCAGAGCGAGGGGCAGCCAGGGCGCCGTGTGCTTGCGCCACCGCCTGTAGTGCTTCCACTGCCCATGCTGCTTCAGCCGCGGGATGATGCCCAGCTGCAGCGGCAGGTGGGGGTGGTGAGGGAGCAGGCGAAAGGTTAAGGAAGATAGGAAAAACGGAGGGAAGGGAGAGAGGAGGGAGAGGCAAAGGAGGGAGGGACGGAAGAGCAGGGAGAGGAGGGACAGGAGGGAGAGGAGGCAGAGGCAGAGGAGGCAGAGGCAGAGGAGGCTGAGGCAGAGGAGGCTGAGGCAGAGGAGGCTGAGGCAGAGGTAAACCCATATTGAAATCATACACAATCAGACTATGCCTCACCTCGGGGTCGGGGTTGAAGCACTGAGTGGTGGGGTCCCAGGCGACTTCAGGCGGCAGCAGCTCCTGAAGCACCTGAATGTCCTTCACCCACCCGCGCACAACTTTGCACCGCATTCGCAGCTGCTCCCCCGAATACCGCGGGAACCCTCGCCGCAACCACTCGCGGTGCACCGCCCCCCAGTCGATCCTGCCGGGGAGGGCGGAGCCCTCAGCGCGCAGCACATCCCGCAAGATCCCCAGCAGGGCTGTCGTCTGCTCGTCGTCCCAAATCGCCCGCCCCTTGCCCATCTGCAATGCCTGCTCCCACCGCTCACGCAAATCCCTGCCTGTGCCAGTGCCTGCTCCCGTGCCCGTGCCTGTGCCCGTGCCTGTGCCCGTGCCTGTGCCCGTGCCTGTGCCCGTGCCTATGCCCGTGCCTGTGCCTGTGCCCGTGGCCGGGCCTGTGCCTGTGCCCGTGCCCCTGCCCGTACCTGTGCCCGTGCCTGTACTCATGCCTGTTCCCGTGCCTGTGGCCGTGCCCGTGCCTGTGTCTGCGAGCATGGCACTGCCTCTGCCTGTGGACCCAGTGCCCGGCACAGCAGGCTCGAAAGTGCTTGTGGGCAGGGGGGGAGCGGGGAGGCCAAGGAGCGAAGAGTGGAGGGAGGGCGAGGGGAAGGCGTAAGGGGGGACGGCGGGGCGACCAGGCAGGGCGACAAGGGAATTGGCGGCCAGAACCGACTCCAACCGCACGCCACCGCGCTGCTCCTCCGCTTCCCCAGAAACCCTCCCTGCTGCGGCTGCTCCCTTTCGTTGCGCTGCTGTCGAGTCGCCGCCTGCGCGTGCAGCCTCCGCCCTCTGCGCGGCTTCCGCCGGCAGGTCAGGCGGTCTGCTTGGCGGCTGGCTGGAAGTTTGCTGATTGGTGAGCGTCTGTAGGCGCTGTAAGAGAAACGAGCGAGTCATGCTGTAACGAGGAAAACGGGAAGGGGGAGAAATGCAAATGAGCCAGTGCAATTATTGTTACGGAAGCTTGCGTAGGCTGCGTTTATGAACCTGCGTTCATGAATTGCGATACGTCAGATGTAGGGTTCGCAGGCAAAACGACCACACGTTCCGCAATGTGACCGCAAATCGAGGTACTCGTTATAAGCTCTATTCGCTGACCTGTTTGCGATCCACGACAACGTGCCCAAACAACATCCACGACACAGCGCGTATGAACCCTGTCCCCCCACCTGCAACTTTCACATCATGTACCCTTGTCTTGTGGACTGTGAAATCGTCGCCAGTTGTTAATTCCCTGCACGTGATAGGCTGCGCAATTTTTGGGTTGCGTAGCAACCTTATACATTCGTTTTCACTTTTCGGTTGGCTGACGTGAACAGTGAATTTCTCCCATCAATTTTGAAAGAAATCACTGTTCACCAACTTCCGGAAAAATGAAAACAAATGTTTCCAATCATTCCAAAATCGTCGATAAGTACGGCGAATGGAACAATTGGACAATCTTTCTAGCACTAATGACGATACCAAATGACACACGAACACAAGGACTGAACCACCGAAAGACACACATACACAAATGGTCACAAAAGCAGCCGGGTACAAGAACCGTCGTACATGTTTTGGGGGGAATGCAAAATGCATCGATGCAGCAATTGAGGTTGATATGGTACGGAAGAGGCGAGCAAAGCTGCCCCACCGACGATCACAATCTCAGTTGCATACACGAGGCACTCGCACACTCCCAAAACAAGCACATGCGATAACACACACAAACTGGTACAGAAACAGATAACGATTGAGAATGTTTCAACGCGAATACTAAATGCATCAATGCTGCAACTAAGATTGATATGGTACGGAAGAGGCTAGCAAAGCTGCCCCACCGACGATCACAATCCGAGTTGCATTCACGAGGCACTTAGCACCACACCTTGAAACACACAGAACACATGTGCACATGTACGCACTCAAACATACAGGCTCACACATACGGTACACAATGACACACACGCAAAAACATACAGCTACGGTAATAAGCATGCAAGCATAATGAATGGAGTTCAGCCTCGTATAAATCATCACTAGCTTGTCCCCCATTCCTCCCCCTCCCTCCCTCCCTCCCTCCCTCCCTCACTCCCTCACTCCCTCCCTCCCTCCCTCCCTCATTCATTTCCCTTATGTTCTCCCTTCTCCCAATCCCTTTTGTCCGCAAGAAACAAGGGCTGCAGCTTGAACTTCCTGCGCACGAAAGAAGAAACAGCAAATGCAACTCACTCCCTGCACAAACAAAAACGAAAACTTGCATGAGTTGCACAAGAAATCAAAATCAGCGAGTGCAGTTTCCTTGACGCACAAGAAACAAATTTACGCTCGCACTCACTCTTGCCGCAACTCACCGACACTAAAATACGTTCAACAGCTCTTAGACACACTCACTGAAAACACACACAAACCCTCGCACTCACCCTCGGGCTCGCGCTCACCCCGAACACCCCCACACACACAGCGCGTGCACCCTCAAACTGAAGGCGCACTCACTCACACCCGCACTCACGCTCACAGTTTCCCTCGCACTCACACCCACACGCATGCTTACACTTGAACTTGCACTCACAAACGCACTCACGCTTGCATTCGCCCTCGCCATCACACCCGCACTCACGTTCGCATTCGCCTGTATTTCTTTAAAACTCGACCAACCCCTGCCCTCTCCTTCTCTCTCTATCTATCTTTCTCTTCCCTCGCTCCTCACTCGCTCTCTTCCTCTCTCTCTCTCCCCATCTCCTATCTTCTATTCCTCTAAAATTTCTCACTCACCTGTGCCTACGATGCTCGCACACCGCGTTGCTGCTCCCCCGCCGATAAAAGGAGCCCTCGTATGTTAAATCCCTGAGGGGAGGGTGTGGGGAACGGGCGGGGGAGGGGAGGGTGAAAGTTATCAGCATACGCGCCTGACATCAGAAAACGCAGGGCATACGCAAAGGCGCCAGCGCCAGCGCCCAGCAGAGGCACCAGCGCCAGCGCCCAAAGGCGCCAACGCCAGCGCCCAGCAGAGGCGCCAGCGCCAGCGCGCAAAGGCACCAGCGCCAGCGCGCAAAGGCGCCAGCGCCAGCGCCAGCGCCCAGCAGAGGCGCCAGCGCCAGCGCCCAGCAGAGGCGCCAGCGCCAGCGCGCAAAGGCACCAGCGCCAGCGCGCATTGGCGCCAGCGCGCATGGCGCCAGCTCGTTACGCGCCAACGCGCATGGCGCCAGCGCACACTGCGCCAGCGCGTTAGGCGCCAGCGCACACGGCGCCAGCGCGCTACGCGCCAGCGCATACGGCGCCAGCGCGTTAGGCGCCAACGCGCATGGCGCCAGCGCGCATGACGCCAGCGCGTTAGGCGCCTACGCGATGCAGAAAGGCGCTAGCGCGCTGCTAGCACGGCGCCCGCGTAGCAGCGCGCTGGCGGCTTGCGCGTTAGGTGCCGGCGCGTTGCAGAAAGGCGCCAGCGTGTTGCCGCATCATGCGCCAGCGCGCTGACGCAGCAAGGTGCCGATGCGCAAGCCACAAGCGCGTTGCTGCAGCAAGGCACCCGCGCGCAGCAAGGCATCAGCACGCAAGCTGCCAGCGCGCTGCCATAGCAGGGGGGATATCACTAATGTACTCACGAACGTGCCGTTTATCACGGGGGCTTGTAACGGTTGCTTGTCATGGGCGTATATCACGTGCGCCGGGCGTTTGTCACGGCGCAAGGCGATTTCCTGCAGTGGTGGCGAGTGCTTGTGAAGAGCTGAGGTACTACCTGTATCGTGAAATGGCAAGTCTCTTCACCTGCTGGAATGAGCTGCAGTGGTTTCTTGGGATGTGTTGGGGTTTGGTATCGAGCTGTTTGCACGTGTGAGCACGTGAAATTCAAGTGACTCAGCTCCAGAATATGACTAAAGCAAGAACTGAGACCCCTGTTCTCTACAATTCTACAGGTGTAGAATCACTTATCACACTATAAGTAGTTGCACTAAATTAGTATCTTATGGTTATTACAACTATTAGATTATTATTGTTACTATCATACAATGTGTATATATTAAACATGTAAAGCTCAAAAATTGTATTTTAAAAACATTATTCGTAAAATGCGGACCAAAATGCATTATGTATGAGAACAAACAATTGTAGATGGGGAAATGACACATGAACATTAGTCACATCTTTGGCCGGTGTCATGTCTACATCGAGTGTTTAGCACCTACGCAACCCATACGACGTTGAACGTCGAGTCTTGTCGTATTTTTCGTGATCAGTGGAGCCCGTTTCGCTCCGTGTCGAGCGTTAGTGTCGCACCCGAAATAGCGAGGATTGCAACCAGATTGTACACCGACGAGTTCGGTAGAAGTTGTAGGCCTAAAAAGGCACATCTAAACAAACAGATTTGTCATATGTCAAAACCTAACAGAACCAGGTAGAACATGTCAGAAATCATTAGTATGTTACAAAATGAACCATCCGTGGTGTTTGTACGTTTGCTTCAAAATAGGCAAGTATTGCTGCTAGAATCACGTGCCACGATGAGGGCGTCAGATGAACCACGCTCCGAAACCACTCAAAATTAGTGAATCTCAAAATGTCAAATGTTGTAGCCTTTAGTGATGTACCCCAACCAACCTTAGTAAAACACCATCCAGTTCTTGACATGGTATCACCTAGGTTAGAATCCTGTGAGATCCCGTTCCTCCCGCTCACGCCCGTAGCGCCCGAGCCTGTCCCGTACCCTAGTGTTAGTCACACTCGTACCGTTCCCTAGCGCACGCTGCGCCTGCCGGTCGCGTCGCGCCCGCTTTCCCCGTCGTTCCCCCCCCCCCCCCCCCCCCCCCCTCCCCCCCTCCCCATCCCGTCCGTCGCGTTGCGCCTGTCTGCCGCGTCGCCCCCGTCCCGTCTGTCCCGTCCCTCGCATCGCCCCTGACCGTCGCGTCGCGTCCGGCCCGTCTGTCGCGTCGCGTCTGTCCTGTCCCATCTAGCCCGTCGCGCCCGTCCCGTCTGTCCCGTCGCGTGCGCCGTGCCTGCCCGTCCCGCAGCGCCACGCCGCACCCGTCCCGTCCTGCTTGCCATGCACCACCACGCCGCGCCCGTCCCGTCCTGCCTGCCGCGCAGCGCCGAACCGCACGTGTCTTGTCCCGTCCTACCGCGCCGCGCTGCGCCCGTCCTGTCCCATCGCGCCGCACTGCCCATTCTGCCGTTGTGCCCTACCCTGCCGTCCTGCAGTTCTCTGAGCCTCACGCACTGCCTGTCACGCCCTACTCAGGCCCTTTAGGCGTTTAGGGTTTCGGCAGCAGCAGTTCCTACCGCTTCGCTTCCGTTATGGCGACCCCTAGGGTCATGCGCTTTGACGGCGAGGGTAGGCCGCTCGAGTTCTCGGTCTGGCTTCTGCGTGCGCGCCGCCTCCTAGAGAGTCAAGCGCAGGCAGACGAGTCTTTGTGGGCGCACGCTTCCACTGACCTTCTTGCGCCCTCCGACCCTCATGCCGCACTACAGACAGAGACCGTTATGCACGCCAGCGTGCTGACCTGACAGCGTGGAAGTCGCAAGACGCTGCGGCCTGCATCGCCCTTAGCACCCTCCTCCCTGAGTCTGAGAAGACCCTCTTCACTCAGGTTCCCACTGCTAGTGAGTTCTTGACCGCGATCAAGGCCCGCTACGCTACTCCGACCACTAGCTCCCTTGGTCGACTTTTCCTCCCGGTCCTGTTTCCTGACCTCGCCTTGTTTGAGCGCTCTAGTGACTTGATGGCTCACTTGCGCTCGCTCGATTCTAACTATCACGCTGCCTGCACTGACGCACAGCTTGCACTGATTCTAACTATCGCGCTGCCTCATGCTATGTATACTATTATTGACTCTAGTGCTTCTGAGTCTATTTTCTCGAGTGTTTTTAGCTTAGGTGCTAGTGTTGCAGAGGTGCTTGTTGCTAGTGTAGGTATGTCC